CTTTGTGCATTTTTCTTTTTTTTCTACTTGTTACTTTGCACTTTTTGTTAGAAAATGTTTATTTACTATTTATTAAGTTTTTTTAAGGTATCTAATATTTTGATATTTAATTTCCATGATCTAAATATTCTATAGTTTGTTGTCATTTGGAAGTGTGTAGGCCTTCTTGCATTATTATGCGGTCACATTATGATTATATATTCAGTGGCATAAAATGGTCTTTAAAATGACACTAATATCGCTTATCGCAATTATTTCTGGGGCAATATATCGCACAACAAAAAGTTGTTATCGTGACAGGCCTAGATCTTTGATCATGTTGCTTGGCACTGACAAACAGCAGACAGGCAAACAAATTATATTATTCCTAAAAGTTGAGAACTGGACTGAGCTGGATGATGGCATCACTGAATCAACGATGAACTGACTTTTAACTGAAAAACTGACTGTTTACTATCGTCCTCTTTTTAGAGCTGCTTTACAGCAGAATTGAATTTGGTTTGCATTATTAAAACACTGTTTTCCTGTTTAACCCTGTAAAGCTGCTTTGACACAATCTGTATTGTATAAAGCACTATATAAATAAAGGTAACTTGACTTGACTCAAATTTGACAATATAACTTTTATCTCATTTTATACGTTAAAATTTGCAGTCTTTCTTTTCCAGGAAAATACTAAATACTCACTAGAATGAGAACTTCCCCCACCCTCTAAATTATAAATACAGCCTTCAGCCTACTACAGTATAACAAGCAATGAAAGCAACTAGCAAATAAACAGCAAATAATAAATCAGAGTGCCGGAACGTCTTGATCATGTACCAACAGTTGTGTTTAATCATTATGAAAGTGGCTTCATTACTACTGTCAATAATATAAGCAATCAAGTGAAAATACATCAACACAAGAAAGTAAACTGTTCGACCAATTTTTATGGGATCCATAATTGTTATTATTTTAAAAATTATAATAATTTACTGAACATCATTCATACTGTTGCAGTAGTTTTTGAACAATTAATAAATCACATAAAGCTGTGTGGGTTGTCTGCTTAACCATGGTAAAAATAAAACACTGTATAGCATGCCCTCTTGTGGCTTACTGCTTAAATTTTTGCAGGCCTCTAAACAGTGTTTGTATTTGAGCTGTGCGCTAACAAAAGTTTAGATTTGAATGGTTTCAGGTTCTTACTTGTGTGCAAAGTCTTTAGGTGGCAGTGCAGCTTTGATGATCTCCAGGATCTTGCTGAGGTAGGGCTGAATTTCGGCCCTCACAGCAACCACCAACAACCCCAACGCTTGAAATGCTGCCGTTCTCTCCTTCTCTTTCTTCAGGCAGCCAAGCAGGTGCCCCATAGTGTCCTTTAAATACTGATCTGAGGGCAGAAGAAAAATCTTTAATATATAGTCAATCAAATATAGCAAAAAGTGAAGCCAAACAAAAAATAAATATCCTAATATGCACAGTGAGCCCACAATGTATTTGACAACTTTGATATAGAATTAAAATATCTGAATGTCACTGAATTTGAAACAAATATAATTACTGAAATAGTCAAAAACCAGCTTTGGAAGTAAGGCTGGGATGTAATCACAAGCAAGTATACCAGTGAAAGTGTGAGGCTGGAAGGCAGCAAGTCGGGGCAGTAGGTTTAAGATAGTCATCTGAATGAGCGGATTCTTACTGGTCCTGTATTTCATTTACTTAAAAATTTATGTCACCGTGTTTTTTTACATTCCACTTGCACCAGTGTCTTTTGCAGCTTCTCGTACATAACGCGGTGTAGTTAGTGCTAGTTCAAATTTAAAAAATGTTTCTACAAACCAAGTTTCATCAGCAGATATGGTCTTGTTTAGGGATCTGTGCCTTTGTGCATACTGATTCTGATGCATCTGACTGCTAAGTAGTGATTGTGTTTTTCAGCAATAGTGTGCACCCTTAATTTACAGAGAAAAGAAGGTCCGTTAAAAATCTGTAGATGGAAAAATCTCCATACAAGTTCTTTGTGCATTTTTCTTTTTTTCTACTTGTTACTTTGCACTTTTTGTTAGAAAATGTTTATTTACTATTTATTCAAGTTTTTAAAAACTGACTGTTTACTATCGTCCTCTTTTTAGAGCTGCTTTACAGCAGAATTGAATTTGGTTTGCATTATTAAAACACTGTTTTCCTGTTTAACCCTGTAAAGCTGCTTTGACACAATCTGTATTGTATAAAGCACTATATAAATAAAGGTAACTTGACTTGACTCAAATTTGACAATATAACTTTTATCTCATTTTATACGTTAAAATTTGCAGTCTTTCTTTTCCAGGAAAATACTAAATACTCACTAGAATGAGAACTTCCCCCACCCTCTAAATTATAAATACAGCCTTCAGCCTACTACAGTATAACAAGCAATGAAAGCAACTAGCAAATAAACAGCAAATAATAAATCAGAGTGCCGGAACGTCTTGATCATGTACCAACAGTTGTGTTTAATCATTATGAAAGTGGCTTCATTACTACTGTCAATAATATAAGCAATCAAGTGAAAATACATCAACACAAGAAAGTAAACTGTTCGACCAATTTTTATGGGATCCATAATTGTTATTATTTTAAAAATTATAATAATTTACTGAACATCATTCATACTGTTGCAGTAGTTTTTGAACAATTAATAAATCACATAAAGCTGTGTGGGTTGTCTGCTTAACCATGGTAAAAATAAAACACTGTATAGCATGCCCTCTTGTGGCTTACTGCTTAAATTTTTGCAGGCCTCTAAACAGTGTTTGTATTTGAGCTGTGCGCTAACAAAAGTTTAGATTTGAATGGTTTCAGGTTCTTACTTGTGTGCAAAGTCTTTAGGTGGCAGTGCAGCTTTGATGATCTCCAGGATCTTGCTGAGGTAGGGCTGAATTTCGGCCCTCACAGCAACCACCAACAACCCCAACGCTTGAAATGCTGCCGTTCTCTCCTTCTCTTTCTTCAGGCAGCCAAGCAGGTGCCCCATAGTGTCCTTTAAATACTGATCTGAGGGCAGAAGAAAAATCTTTAATATATAGTCAATCAAATATAGCAAAAAGTGAAGCCAAACAAAAAATAAATATCCTAATATGCACAGTGAGCCCACAATGTATTTGACAACTTTGATATAGAATTAAAATATCTGAATGTCACTGAATTTGAAACAAATATAATTACTGAAATAGTCAAAAACCAGCTTTGGAAGTAAGGCTGGGATGTAATCACAAGCAAGTATACCAGTGAAAGTGTGAGGCTGGAAGGCAGCAAGTCGGGGCAGTAGGTTTAAGATAGTCATCTGAATGAGCGGATTCTTACTGGTCCTGTATTTCAGCACCCAACGGCACACCTGATGCAACAGCAACAAAATACATTAGATCCTTGGATGCTGTGGGAAATGTCAACTTCCCTGATCACAGTTACACAGTTTTAAGAAATGTCTAAAGTTATAACTAACACTACAATCTTATACACCACAGAGACGTTATTTAGACCATATGGTTCACTCCTGAATAATATACATTGGCTAAAATTTGAGGAATCAAAAAAATTAAACCTTTTTATCGGGAGATATCTTAAATACATGCCAAATTCTAAGTTAAGTGGACATGATTGGAAGGGTTTGGAAAAGTTGATTTTTCAGAAAATCAGAAAGACCATTATAGATATCCATGTGATCTTCTCAGCACCTTCACTAAAGATAGAACTTTTTATCATAAATAAGCCTTAATAATTAATTGCAATTTTGGCAATTTTAAGAGATGTTATGCAAAACTCCACCTCGACTCTTGTTTAGGTTAACCTCAAATTTGAGTATTTCTTTGAAATCGTATAAAATACTCTAAACCATAACATATTATAAACCCAACATATTTGACAGTCAATTACTATTCTCCTTGACAATAGATTATTGTAGATAAAATACTGAAAATAATGAGAGGCTTAACATGTATAACCACAGAAAAAAAAGTAATTATATAATGCTGTTCTCACGGTACTGTGTAATATATACAGTTGTGGCCAAAAGTTTTGGCAGTGACATACATTTTGTATTTTGCAAAGTTTGCTGCTTAAGCTGTTGTGGTGTTCATTCACATTGTTTCTAGATTATTGTGTAGAGTGATCAGATGCATTTTAAATAATTGTTAAAAGCTTCATTGGCCAAAAAAATTTACTTTTCACAAAAAAACACATTTCACTGTTTTTTGATCCTGACACAAAATGACCAGCTAACATTAATTGACTAATCATATCAGCAGCACATGTGAAAGTGTGAATGAGTACTAGTCAGGTTAATCACTATCATATTAATGACATTGTAAGAGCAGACTGATTGCTATAAAAGGAGGGAAGAAGTGCTTCCAATCATTGTGTTCTTGTTAGCAATGGTTACCTCCAAAGAAACACGTGCAGCCATCATCGCTTTGCATCAAAATGGCCTCACATGCAAGGAAATTGCTACAAAGAATATTGCACCTGAAAGAACCATTTACTGGATCATCAAGAACTTCAAGGAGAGAGGTTCGACTGCAGTGAAGAAGTCTTCAGGACGTCCCAGAGTGTCCAGCAAGCTCCAGGACCGTCTCCTCCTGAGAAGTCAGCTTTGGAATCGTGTCTCCAGCAGTGCAGAGCTTGCTCAGGAATGGCAGCAGGTTGGTGTGAGAGCATCTGCACACACAGTGAGGCCAAGACTGTTGGACAACGGCCTTGTGTCAAGAAGGGCAGCAAGGAAGCCACTTCTCTCCAAGAAAAACGTCAAGGACAGGCTGAAATTCTGGCAGAAGCCCACAAATTGTAATCAACTCCGAGAACTAATAAAGCAAGAATGGATTGCCATCAGTCAGGATTTGGCCCAGAAGCTAATATCCAGCATGCCAGAGCGAATTGCAGAGGTTATGAAAAATATTTTTTTTGCCAATAAAAGCCTTTAAAACTTATGATATGTTTATTGTTTTTCAGTATACCATAGAAACATGTGAAAAAATAATCTACAAATACTGAAGCAGCAAACTTTGCAAAATACAAAATTTATGTCACTGCCAAAACTTTTGGCCATGACTGTACATATATAACACAGTACCATGCTCTTTTACACCAACTTGCTCTGAATTAATATATATATATATATTTGTTAGTAACAGAGAACAGAACCTTCGTGGACATAAGAAAAATATTTTCTTAATTTAAAGAAAATTACATTTAAATTACAAGATAATTTTGACTTTTTTTGCCAAGTTCAAGCAAACTGCAACATATGGTGCACAAAAATAATTGTCAGATTATACTTATGCTTTCTCTTAATGGATAAAATATTATTTTTCTGAAGTGAATTGTTAGAAAAAGAAAATACTTCTTTTGTATGGACATGAAATGTACCCTAAATTGATTGAATAAAAAAGAAGAAAAAAAAAAACATGCTACAATTTCTTCCTAAACTTTACTACTGGGACTGCTTATTTTGAGACCAGATGCAGATAGTTCTTTTGTCTTCAGTAATAAATGCAATCACTGATCACCTGGTCAAAATGCTCCTCCATCAGTTCTCTGCAGTACCGGCTCTCCACCAGCGTGCTTTTGGAGGGAACAGGTACAGCTCCAAAACTTAGGAAGCCCTGTGGTGTGCTATATCCCAGCAGCCCCAGCAGAGCATTGGACTGCTGCGGCTGCACTGACTGAAAGCTGGTGAAGGGCGTGATGTGGCGAGGTTTAGTACTGAAACCCATCAGCTCCTTGCAGTACTTATCATGAACCATCTGCTGCTGTGTAATCTCCTCCATTTCCTCTCTCATACGCTGCAGGGATGAAAGATAACAAATTAAACAAATAATGAATTAGGACTGTCACAATACTGACAAGCCAACCGCAGAGTATAGCAAGCAACTGCGATGCTCATGTTTTTTATTGTTTTTTTTCATGAGGCAATGCCCTTCTTGTTTTACCCTTAATGCACGTGTACTGGACGTTCAGTAAGTTTATATCATAACAAAAGTGAAGAGTAATATTTTTGTACAACTTGCTTTTTTTTTAACGTCATTAAGATGTAATTAATGTGTACCACTGTGATTTGTACATAGGTTCTGTAGATGTGCAACAGACAGGGGGAGAGAGAGAGAGAGAGAGAGAGAGAGAGAGAGATCTTCTTGTTTTACCCTTAATGCACGTGTACTGGACGTTCAGTAAGTTTATATCATAACAAAAGTGAAGAGTAATATTTTTGTACAACTTGCTTTTTTTTTAACGTCATTAAGATGTAATTAATGTGTACCACTGTGATTTGTACATAGGTTCTGTAGATGTGCAACAGACAGGGGGAGAGAGAGAGAGAGAGAGAGAGAGAGAGATATCGTCTGAGCATGCACAATTACCTGCGTCTATCCTTCTTCAGGTCAAGTCATATATTTGTGGGAAAAATCAGTTTGCCATCAGTTATCAGAAGATAAAAGCGATATCTTTGTCATAGCATCCTTTCAGCGTTTAAGGGGATTTCCCATGACTGCGTCAGAGCTGTTCAATGCATTGAACCAATGGCATTGTTCTCTATGAAGTGAAACATCAGCTTCAGCATTACCCAGGTAAGGCGCTGATCGTCGATTGAGCCTTGAAAAGTGGCGCTCAAAGTTAAATTAATTTCAAAACCTTATTTCAGTTATGAATGAATCAGCGTATTTAAATGTTTTAGTTGACTCACTCGTAAAGACAGTCCCTTGCCGCCAACTCCTGGCATAATAATGTAACTGCACTGACTGACAGACTGTGTAAAATGAATACAGAGACAACTCCCTGTACTGCTGAAATCTCAACAACACTGAAAGCCTCTTGTCCAGTCAGAATCAGAACATAATATTATACCTATAATAATATAATGAGCTTAATTATGTAGATAGATAGATACATATTTCTTCACCGCAACAGCCCTATAATGAATAAAAGCATTGAAGCAATGAGTTATGTCAAATTTGATTGAAAGATCAAACAAAACGAAAGAAACAAAAGTAAACAATGCAAACAAACAATTGAAAGGAAAAACAAAAAATGAAAACAAATCAAAAGCAACAGATAAACAGCCTAGGAAATAAAAGATCAAACGAAGGATAAATAACACAAATAACAAGCAAAAAAAGCAAATAACAAAAGAGCAAAACAATGAACTAACGAACAAAGAAGCAGCAAAAACTCACAAATCATGTGTTATGCTACCTGTAGCATGAGCGATATCTTACCTCTCCCTCCATACTGCTTATTCGCACTAGTTCATTGAGAATCAGTAGAGCTCCATGGACACGGTCATCTTTATTCATGCCTTTCTCTTTAGCCAGAGTCTCATCAAAACCTTTTTCGGCTTCCTCAAATGTTTGCTGTTTATGACAACAAAATATATGGAATGTGTGGCCATACCCATAACACACACACACATTTAAAGACATTCAAAGGTGTTTTAATTCTGACCTTGTACCATTGTGGCTTCTGCATCTCTTTGGTCTCTCTCTGGGTGGTGAGGATCAGACAGGCTCTGAGTGCAGATACTGCTCCCTCACGGATCGCCTGTTTGCAGTCCCACACAGCATAGAAAATGTTATCAAAGAACGGCTGAACCTGCTGGAAGAAGAATGTGGGTGCGCTAACAGCGAGCTCTCGCAAAACCAGCACCTGAAACAAAAACAGTGGCAAGTGGGTTCAGTTCACATTAGACAGAAGAGAGCAAAGAGACACAGAATGAAGTACTGTTAAAGAAGCTAAAATCCACCAATAACATACAGTCAAGTGTAAGAGAATCTGATATAAAGTTTATATCACAACATATAAGTGGCATTAAAGGGATAGTTGACCCAAAAACGGAAATTCTGTCATGATTTACTCATCCTCAAGTTGTTCCAAATCTGTACTATTTTCTTTGTTCTGTTGAACATAAAAGAAGATATTTTGAAGAATGCAGGTAACCAAACAGTTGCTGTTAGCCATTGACTTCCATAGTAGGGAAAAATACTATGGAATTCAATGGCTACCAGCCACTGTTTGGGTACCAACATTCTTCAAAATATCTTCTTTTGTGTTCAACAGAAGAAAGAAAATCATCCAGGCTTGGAACAACATGAGGGTGAGTAACTGATGACAACATTTTCATTTTTGGGTAAACTATAGCTTTAATTTAGAAGAAACCTACACCAAGGAAAAATGACTTTAACTTAAAGGCTTCAAACAGTTACCTTGTAATTCATCATGACAATATAATATTCAGTGAAGTGTTTCTACGCACCGCTGCATGCCGTCTGCCCTCATTCCTGTCTGCTCCCAGCCATTCTAGAGCTCTCTTCACCTCAAACTCCACATACTCCGCAGTGAAGGTGTCTCCCGCCATGGACAGGTGACCCATGGCCTTAGAGGCCATCTCCATGACCACTGAGTCGCTGGAGGGAAGCAGGTTGCGCAGGTAGTTGGCAAAACGGCTGATACGGGTGGCATTTCCCCCTTCCACACCAATCAAGCTCACTGGAGAAACAGCCATTACACAATGATTTTAAAAATGCTTCAAACAAAGCAATACAATGGTGACAAGTCACTTTCAATGGAAAATTATATGTAGATCTGGCAAAATAGAAACATAAGGCCACATTAGTTTACATGCTGATTAAAAATAACAATATATAGTAGACAGCAATTGGCATTGGGTTAATACTCACCTATGGCCAGGATACCACCTTTTTTCTCATTCACATCTGAGCTGGAAACCAACTCGAATATGTGGTGGTTCAGCTCGTCGTAGAAGGTGGTGGCTTCATCTTGGCTCAGCTTGAGTCAGAAGCAAAAACACTGCTCACTAAACATGACTCTTCCCAGTACTTTATATTTATGTATACTTTAATGTATGTCTGTCAAGTGATTACAAAATTTCAGTTAAACACTGTAAATGATGCGCTCATGTAATCAATCACAAATTACCGCACATGTTATTTATTATTTACTAGGTAAAGCCCACAAATGTAGATAATTCAAAGACCGGTGTCACATAGGTGCTACAACAGGCAGTGTAAAGCTGGACTGATTGCGGACTTGCAAATAGATATTTTGCAACTCCCTGTAATTAAGATGTTTTTGATGATTGAATCACAAGTGGTCAGCACTAAATACAGGTGGAAACGGGATCTAAAACACTTTGCGATCAGATCCCTGAAACCATCTCTGTCAATACTGGATCTGTGCATTAGGTAGCCTAATATGCCTGATGTTATCTGTCATTAATATTAATATTCAAACTAACAAAGAATGAATACATTTTGTAGGTTTAATGTACAATTAATCTATATTTAATATATACAGTGAAGACTGCAGTTTTATTTTACATTTGATAATAATTAGATTATTGATTAATTTCTGTAGTATTTCTTTCCTGAATACTACTGTTGGACCTAACTAAAAAGCACCATTTATTTCATTTGTACTGTATCTTCGTTTGTTCTTACTATATTTATTTGTGCTATTTCTTGTAAAATATTTTATTTAATACTGATTTTTTTGTCATTAATAAGGTTTTAACTTTATATTGGTTAGGTTTTGCTGTGGTACTGAAATAGGAATTGTGAAATTTCACTGGTGTCTATCTAGGTGTGTGGTAATGCACATGCTGTTATGCTTGCATTATTCTAGTGTATATACTGTAAACATGTTTCCTTTCTTGTTTGTTAAAACACATTGCAGGACAAAATAACTTCAGTTAATTGTCAGTCACAGGGGTGGTAATAAGACATTACATTTAGGCAAAAGATATATAGAAATTACTTGTCAAAGCTATGCTTTTGACTCTTCTGATGAAGCTTAACGATGTAAATATTTGGCTCAAGGATAAAAGTAGTACAGTTTACCTCTCTTAGTTCTGTGGTGACATAATGCTGGAGGTCTTTGGCAGCTTTGGCACGTGTGTCTTCATTTCGACTCTTAAGGCCACTCACAAACTGCTGCAGGACTGTAGCAGTGCCAGACATGCTGGCGGCTGGGACTCAGCTACCTGTAGATCTGCCTGCAATTCAAACACTCTGTACGATGATCAGATTAAATGATGATCTCGATTTCCAGATGCCAATAAACCTCTTTTACTATACTTTAGAAATTAAGAAACAATCTTACATTCAGTATCCCTTTATGAAAAATATGCATATTTTATCAGGCAATTCCATAATGCCATGAAAAGTAATATGAGGACATACCGTCAAAAAATAGTGAAGTGGGAGTTTTCTGTTATTCTGTATTGCATTACTTAATGGTGATAATGTCACTTTACATACTCTAAATGTGCTGATGCCAGAATATACAGAAGCATCTAAAGACCCACCTCCACCTATTTAAAACGACGCTGTTCCCTTAAACGGCACTCCAATAAAACAAGAAGAATTACACACTGTCATTATTGGACAAAGTGAATAAAGTGTTCACACTGTAACAAAGGTCATTCAGTTAGTTAAAATGTATAACAGCATTATATATGCTAATGGGAACAGTAAAAGTTTTCAGCTCAGATCTACTACACCGCACCATACCCATTAAATGGATAAACAGACAAATAAAGCAGCTTGCAATTATTAGTGATTCAGTGCCTCAAAAGTGTCTTGATCTAGGATTTAACTTACAATCTTCCAGCTCGGATCTTTTAACCCCGACTGAATACAGGCAATTTTATCATTTTTAAAGAATACTCAGCAGTTCCTACCTCTGATAAAAATAAGAGAAAAGCATGTAGATCACAGTTATTCATGAGAATAATAGAAAAACACAATAACAGCACATACAGCGGATGAATCGACAGATAGGTTAACGTTAGTTAGCAATAGGTGCTACCTACAGCTACAGTCGGGTTATTTTAGCAAGTGCCTATCAACTGCTTACGTAATATCAAACAGAACATTTTAATGGATTACATGTATTTAGAAATGCAGTATTTAGAAAATCAGTATTTACTTAAGTTAAGGGTTTTCCACTAGATGCTATGCACTCGTGAAACCGCAGACACAGAGGGCGGGCACAACCTTTGAGTGACGTCCCATCCGCCAATAGACAATCACTTTGAAACGCTCGACTGTAGAGTTTAACCAATCATTCGCTCAGACGGAAAGCAGGAAAGAAACATGGGGTGAATTCCAATTCACGTACAAGCACTACGTACTAAAAATTTCGTATAACACTGGTAATGCCATAGAAATACGATAAGATAATAAACCAGTACGCTTAGTGTTTGAATCATAAAATATAAAGAAGAGTGGCTTACCGGCCCGAATGTTTAATGGGAGGTGTCTTAATAATATCCTATAATAAATATTTTACCTAGATAGGTTTATTTTAATTGTCATTATTCAGGTGTAAAATTATTGCCCGGACGGCACATGAACGGCATATTCACACGGTACTTGTTGCTTTTCTCAGTGCTGGTTAGGACGGACCAATCTTTAAAATCAAATCACTTTTGGGAACATTAAAAATTACTAAATAAACCTCATAATGAAGAACTAACTATCCAGAATAGAGAACAACCTTATACAAAGCACTATACAACAAACTATGTCTTTTAAAGTCAATTGTCAAAGACCAGAACCCTTTGGACTCTCCTATTAAACTATCAAACAAAATATAAACCCTAAAATCTCCAAAAGCTTGTTGTATTGACACCATCCTAAACAAAATTATTAAATACACAGACTACAATTTTAAATTGGCCATCCTAATATTTAAAAAAAAATCATCCTCAGTGCAGGTGTATTTCCCAAAATCTGGAGCCATAGCCTCATTACTGGAACTATTGCCCCTATTTATAAAAGCGGAGACAAATTCAACCCCAACAACTACCATGGTTTATGTATTTAAACCATAGGTAAACTTTTCTGCAACATCCATTGGCTTCCAACCAAAATATTGCACACCAGACCATACACTGTACACGCACTAAATGACAAGCAAATTAACCAGAATCTTCTCATGCTTTGTTGATTTAAAAAAAGTTATGATTTAGTTTGGCATGAAGGATATTTACTTAAGTTGATTCAGTGCAGTGTCAGAGGAAAAACATAGAACGTTATCAAATCAATATGCACAACAACAATTATTATTATTTTTTTAAATAGGTGACAAACACAAAGATTTCCTCCATCAGAGTCGTGGAGTAAGGCAGGGCTACACCCTATTCAATAATATATAAATCAATGAACAAACTCTGAAGCACCCAGTCTTACTCTATTAGACACTTAAGTCAAATACCTTCTGTTTATAACCTGGCTCTGTCAGTTAACTGCAAAAAGACTAAAATAAGGATATTCTGAAAATAAATAAATAAATAAATAAATAAATAATTACTTACAGCCGGCAAGACCAATATCATAACTTCACATTAGAAAACATTTCCCTTTAACACACTCAGAACTACACATATCTTGGTATAAAGTTTAAACATCAGCAACAAGGTTGTCAACAATCTGAGAGAATCAGAATCTAGCTAAAACTAATTCAGTTGGTTATAAAACCCCCAATCAGACCAATTTATTAAAAAAACAAAAATAAGACACTGGACAGAAGCAACAGCTCAACAAAATAAATTAGAATGGTATCTGTCCCTAAACGACATAAACATAAATTGGACAAGAACAACCAACCAAATAAATACACAATAAATAAATAAATAAAATCTGTAATTTTTGCCTTTTTCTTCTCGTTATTATTTTATAAAACATGTTTGTGTGTGTGAAAATGTGTATGTCTGTAAATTAATGTTACCAAATGCTATTGCAAAGTAAAGCCTTTTTACCATGGTTCTTGAACCCAATAATCTTTATCAATTTGAAAACGCGCGCGGTGGCTTCCAAATAAATCCATGTAAATCTCGCGAGAGTTTTGCGTAGGACGGTTAACTTATAGAACCGATTGCGAAGTTTAGCTCTTCGGTTTTGTTCAGCTGCTCAAAATGACACTATTAAAGTGTCAGCATTGTGTTAGAGAGGATAAAGCAGCAGAGGACACAGATCATGTGGAGGTTTGTAGGTATTCATATTATTAGCAGCTGCTGTTTTAAAGAGCGAGGCCTGAGTTTGTGTGAGCTAGTTGGCTAACGTTAGCACAGCTGACACGATTCATTATAATATGTACCTTTAGCGTTAACATTATACGGCTCGATAGCCCATTAAATTCATGTTTTAATAAAAGAAAGTCTTGCTGATCAGTATGAATCTATACCATAGTTATAGCATAGTTATTATACCATTGTATTTATAATAACCGTAGTTAATACCTTTAAGATAAAACCATGTGGCTCCTCAGTGCAACCGTTTTTTCTATAAAATATGTTATGAAACATAAACGGAAAAGGTCTAAACACATGGAGAGCCAATCACCACCGCTGCCATAGTGAAAATGAGACATATTATGCTATAATTCTTGCTGCAAAAATACAAGTTACTAAAGCTACCCAGTGGGCAATTGATGTTGAAAAGACATCAAATTGACGTCAAAAAACAGGTCAAATATGCGAATCAAACTGATGTCAAAAACTTGACATTACGTTGATTTGATGTAAATTGAACGTCAAACATATTGGCCAACATATAGATTAAACCAATTTCAGTGTGGGATTAACTTCTTATTTTCACCCAATTACCACTGGAAGAATTTGCCTTCCAAACTGAATTTAAAACTTTTTGTTATCATTCTTGAGACATGGGACAAAACAGGTCCAGCAAGGGTAACTGCTATTAGTTTTAAAAATAAAAATATTTTCAATTTTAAATGTCATGAGGGATAAATAATAGAATGTATTTAACACAATTATCACCTTCAATTTAATTTTCTCATTATTATACCAAATCTATGTTTCTTAATGTCCTCTCACTACAACTAAAACAGTGTGTCCACAGAGAAGGGTTCAATCATTCATATGCAATAAAACGGATAAAAATGTATTTTTAATGAAAAAAAGCTTGTTTTATCAAAAGCAACACTTAATAATATCTCCCAAAGCAAGGTTGTTTTTTAATGACACATGCATGTTTCATAAGATTTTAAAGTTGCGTCCCCACTTTTTGTCAACACCGTCAGACATTCAATAAAATGTAATAAAATCAGGGAATAT